TGACAATTTAGAAGTGCCGGAAGGTCTTCTGGCTTGATATGAAGTGATCACGTGTAGAAAAGTAATTGTATTCCTTTCCTCCCCCTCCTCCTTCCACCTTCTTCCCCTCCAACAGATGAACAGGCTGAGTTGACTCCTGAATTGCTGCATTTAATATTCCACTATGTTAATGTGAAATGAAATAAAATGACAGTTTGTATTACTATGTTGCTGTTCACAATGTGAAGTGAGGGACTGAAATTCTACTAAAATTCAAATGTAATGCAAGTAGCAGTATAAATGGAACATCAGAGGTATAAATTTTCCCTGCCTTACAGACACGCAAATTGGGAATAGTTCTGTTAAAGTCAGTTTTCATCGGTATACTGTAGTTTCCTCAGGGTAAATGAGAAAAAACTAGAAACCCCCCTTACCTGCAGCGTAGAGCAACATGCTTTGATACTCAGTGTCTTTACTAAATGGTCACCTTTGCATGCAGAAGGAATTCAAAGAGGAAAACAGCTAATCTGAGGTATATGATACCATCTCATTTTTTTCAGGCTTATCTCTGCTTTTTTTCCTGAAATGCCCCTTTTTTATCTTTCTGACCTTTGAACACCACCAAAAGCACCATCTGGTGACAATGTACGTTGCAACGCTTTTCCCCAGATGCTGCTATTTGGGTTAATTTATACTCATTATGAAATTCATCATTACAAATCACTGCCAGATCATATCAACCATATCACTGAAACTGGCTAAAAATCTTTGGTTGCAGAGGATGGGAAGAAAAAACTAAGCTGAACCATAACTATAGCTATTAAAGTTAACATAGTTTGCAGTTACCAGGCAGAGGATATCTCCACTCTGTTAGTGAAAAGAGGAACAAAAAAATATAACAGATTTATTGAGTTTGTTTTGTATGTTTTACTTTTACCTGATAAAGGAGTTTCAAGCACTGTGTATGTAGAGCCAGCCCAGGGATTTCAGTTACACTCACCCATACTTTTTAAAATAATTATTGTTAAAGTTAAATTCTCTCATCTTTTGTATTTTGACTGAATTACCCTTAAAAATTGTTTTAATTGTTTAAATCGTTTCAAGTGTTGTGGTAAGAAATGGCAACAGCCACTAGGTGGCATTTATAATCTAGCTTTTACAGCTGTGCAATTTCAGTCACTGTCCTAAATGTAAGACCTCGTGTTCTCTCAGTCATGACAACTGTGGTCCTATTACAATTTAAGCGAAGTCTTACTGGAGTAGTTAGATTCAACTGCTATTTTTCCTTCAACATAGTTGGTAGAAGATAAGAATAGCACATGTTCTAAAATTTGAATGACCTTGATGGAGGAGCTTTGCTGAGTGAAGTTGGTGGGCAGAGGAAGACAGTTCAGAAGGAAAACAAAAAAAATGAAGTTTCTGCAGATCCTCAAAAAGTCCCAATGCACACCACAGGTATTTGGCCCTATGGATTGCCTTTGAGGGGAACATTTGTACTAGAGGTGCTAGCAAGAATACTATTAGGAGTTCACACAAGCAAACTGGTAGTAGTGGCTTGATTCCTACAGTCTTACAAAATGTAGCACTTCTCTAAATTGATAGTCATGTCTGTACATGCAAGCACCTAAACATAGCTCAGACTGAAAGTGGAATTATTGAACAACAGAAGTTTGTACTGTTATAGTTAGTGTCTTCTGAGGGTCTCAAAGTATATTAAAAATATATTAGACAGTCCTTGGGTTTCATTATCCTCATCTCATGGATAACAAGATAAAATAATGTTGGCAGAAAAAATAAAGGAGTTGTTGCTATAAGACTGTCAAGTTAACTATTTTTCAACCAATATATTAACAAGTCAAGAATCTGTATAAGGTCCCTTGTACCCCAAAATATTATTACTGGGAGAACTTTGCTAAAAGAGAAGGAATTATCAGTGAAGCTCTTCACACTGCCTCTTCTGAGAAATAACTTAGATTGGCGATTTTAAGTCTTTTGGAAGTGAACAATCACTTTTATTATTCTCACTTTTGCTGCATTTTCCTGGTGGACTGTATTTTCAGTTACAGGGAAAAGACAGTACAGCAAAGCTCAATCTAACTGAATACTGTAAGTTCATCATACTGATTGTATTATTCACCAAGTATACAGTAAAATTCACTATTATGTATATTTGATATTTCTTCTCGCAGTTTGCTGTTATTATCTCAAAATAAATGGAGTGCATTAAGTTGTAGAATGTAACTTACAGCTTTGAAAACATAGAAGAGTATTTGTGCTTTTTTATTGTATGAGCAGAGTTTGAAGAAGCAAAGAACATAAAAGGCTTCCTTTTTATATTTTACTTCACTGTGGTAAAAATAAATAATATTCTTTAACCCAACAACTGAAAAAAGCTGTAAATAAGATAGATTTTATTTCTGAAGGAAGGCACAGCTCAGTTTCTCCCAGAAACTGAACACCACAGGTGATCTGGAATTTAAAGCTCTTTACAATAGCTAAGCTTTTACAATAACCTTGTGAGCTAAACATTATCCTTCTGTTGTTCAAGAGGAAACCACCTTTAAAGAAGCTTAAGTACTGTGTTCAAGGTCACAGAATGGACACATTCTGTGGATAAATAAGACTTATTTTATTAGACTGAGTGGTTGTAGCTGGAGAAAAACTGGACAAAGTTTTTGTATACAAGCTTTCTTTACCTTTTGGGAGAGACTGAGTGGAAACCTACTTACATGCCTAGAAAGAGAGAAAACACTGAAATTATTGACCAGTGTCCTTCTCTGTGAGGGTATGTACTAATACTAATGCAGCATTAAGCATTGATTAAGCTAGATATGGTAAGCAATATTGGTTAAATTTTAATGAGGAAAATATTTTAATTTACCCCTAGTAAAATGTATTTGGGCTATCAAATATGCAAGGTTCTTTTGAAAGACTTCTTACATTTTAAAATGACTCCTTTCATATAGGTTTAATTTTGTCATGAATCTTATGTCCCTGTTAATAATTTAACTCTGACTGGGCAAGAAGTCATTCAAGATGCACAAAATGTGTCAGAATTTGAGTGAAAGGATTAAGCAGAAGTAGAAACTGTTAGTCTCAAAAGATAGGAGTTGTGGTGTAGACTGAAAATAGCTTTTAAACACAGGCAGGCTTTCTAGAACTTGAAGTCCACAAACTTGGGAGGGATAATTCATCTATATTTAGATTACTCTACTATAGCATAATCAAGGTTTCTATGAAACTGGAGGTTTCAAATCATTCCTTGATCTGAAATAGATGCATCAGTTGAAGATACCAAACAGCATTTCTGTTAATACAAGTCCAAGAAAAACAGTGCTGTAATTAGGGAGAGGTACAACTATTCAAAATAAAGGACAGAGATGCATGCCTGATTTTAAAGTCTCATTTATTTAATTTGTTAAAAAAATTAAGATACATTAAATAGATTTTCTACAACACCAGTTTGCATGACTAGTAAAGTTACATTCATAATTTTATAACAATTTTCTGTTTCCTTTACCATCTGCTAGATAAGAATGTCACATCTAAACCAATGCTGAATTAGCCCTTAACATCCCTGTGAGGTAGGTCAGTGTTAGCCTCATTTTATATAAGAGGAAACTGAGGAATGGAAAGTTTCAGGTCAGTGTACCAGAAAAACTACAGTAGAGTTAAGCCTAGAATTCTAGTCTTCCATTCCTTGTACTGGGCCTCTCATCTAGTGTCTTTCTCCCTTTCTGAAAAGGGAGAACAGCCTATAGTAGCTACTGTTCTCCTCCTTTCTCCCCCTCCCACTGCTTTCCTTTACATTGTATATCTTGATGATTTCTCCATCTAAGCTGATTAAATCTGATAAACATCAGTAGTTCCTATCTGCACTATACAGATGAAGTAGCACATCTGAAGACCAGAATTAAGCTAACTGAAAACAGACTGCGGGCAGTTAAAGACAACATCACTGTATGTAGTGCCAGAGATCCAAGTCTGAATTTTGTCACTAAGCTGCAGAAACAGCAATACTAACACATGGCTTTTCTAAAGCAGCTTTCTTTTGAAGAGGTAAAAGGACTCAGGATTGATTAAATCTCATATCTGCAGGGCATATCCCTGACAGACTGCCATAGTGAGGGGATTATTTGTGCAGCAGTGCACATTTAGTGCAGTCAGGGTCTACCCATGTTAGGTCCCTAAAGTAAACAAAATATCAACTTTCTTTAGGGCAGACAATGAAGGAGGTGGTATTGCAAAGCAAATCACTTAATGAGGTAGAATTTGAACAATTAAGAACCACAAAACACATCTGAATTGCTACAGATATTCTTTTCAACAAAATTGACAAGGGTATTAATTAGTCATGTATGCTGTGTGGGCTAAAAGCACAAGTGTCTGAACAACACTTCAATAAAATAGCCTGCTTTTAAACAAAGTATTTACATTATTTTAAATTAGTTATAAAATAGCATCTTAAAACAGTAAGTTTAAAATATATATGTAGTTCTCATACTAGTGCCTACTTAAGGTGAGTAAAGAACTTTTTTCTAGTGCTACTCATGTGCACCATATGTGTTGACAGCAAGAATACAGTGGAAGTAATCTTTAAATCAGACAGAGCTCAGCAAATGCTAATAAGAGATCTGTAAGGAAAATTTAAGTCAAATTTGTCCAAAGTTCTTGACTACTATCATGTATTAAATAAGACAATTAGAAGTTGCAGCCATCAGTACTAGTAGATCACTACATAATTTCCCATTTTATATTAAGTGGGATTTTAATTTCATCTTTATTTTTAGAGTTTCAGGTCTTGGACACCACTCTAGTTTACTCAACTATCCCTTATATTAAGAAGCACAGGTTAAAAAGAGCCCATTTCTCAAAAGAATGAGCAATTCAAATAACAAAAAAAAAAATCAGAAGATTGCCCCCCCTCCAAGTAGAGTGTTCATGGAAATGGCTATCTTGTGTGTTCCATGAGTGATCTGAAGACCAGAGTTTCTATTTATAATATCTCAGATGTGGAAGCTTTTGGATATCTCAGGGCTATTATCCGTTTTCTTCAGGCCTTGAAGGAAGCTCGAACTACTCTCCCCTTAAGAGGCTGAGGGGGACGAAAATTATTCACCATTTGGATCCTCTGGTCTTCCTCACTAGTGAATAGGAGCATGCGGAATTTCTCCAGCTGTAAATTCAGGTGAAAATTCACTGCTTTGAGGGCAATCAATACTAATGTTTATAGTAAAAGGACCAAAGGAAAGTATTCAGTACATTGCAATCTGTTAATAGAATAAAGATCCTAGAGAGTATTAACAAAATAAACAGAAGCCCTGATTATTGAACAGGCAGATTATTCACAAGCTAATGGTCTTAACTTAGCCACACTGCAAATCAAACAGTCACTGCCTGTGTTGAATCATACAAGACCTAGGAGAGCATAAGAAGTTTACCTGTTTCTCTGAAATTCTGATGGGTTCTTTCAGCACTATCCATGTTACACTCTCATTAAGGGGTGGTGTTGTCAAAGAACCAAGGTATGTCCAATAATCTAGACTCAAAGGCAGTAGACATTTGGGGTTGAAGCTTGTAAATTGAGCTTTTGTTCCCTGGAAAACAAAAATTGATACTTGAAATTTATCTTTTTACTTTTAAGTGCAGGGTAAAGAAGTCTTTCTGAAAGATAAAAAATGCTAAAGTAATATTAAAAAGTAGGGGAGAGGCAGAGTCTATAAAGGTTTGGCCGCCTTATAACAACTGTTATCTAAGGGTAGCATGGCCAGTGTGATGCCTGCTACTGGCTCACTGGACTTTGAGTTCTTGCCCCACTGCCTCTACCAAAGTTCAGTTCTTGTCACAAAAGTTCTAAAAATAATGCAGGAAGTATATTCTGTATATAGTGCTCAGTGTGAGCTATAGATCACATCATGGCAGACTTCCTTTCCTCATTACTTGTTATTTTCTATGTTCCCCATCTATTTCAGTAGAAAATTTGAAACTATGGAGAACCTGGCCCCAAACAGTCACTTGTTAGGACAAATATTGGCTTTAAAAATCAAATGTTCAAGTCTAAAAGTAGAGGAAGGTGGATAAACCAAAAGACCAGTGGAAATAGGAGATACTGTTTCAAGTATGACTGCCTCAGCTACCACAGTCTAGGGCAAGATTTTTCAGCCTGTAGGAGTATTGGAAAGGTACTTGTTCACTCTGAAAGCACTGTCCAATTGTCTGTAAAATTGCTTATAAGGAACATAATGAGCAGCTTATCCCCAGTGGCAAACCTGCAGACCTCCCATCACCACAACTAAGGGATAACTTTCTTTCCTGCAAGTAGAATAAATCACTTAAACAACAAAATATTGTTTAGTGGGTCTACAGCCTGCACATATTGCTGTGTCACTGCCTTGATTTCCTGTCTTTCATGGGCATATACAAAGGAGTGAGAAATACTATGCCTACTCAAGATTTAGATTTAGTTTATTTTTGCATATTAGAATTTATACTTTATAGAATGCATTAACCTCATGGAAATCCAGGAAGGATAACATTTGTAGTGATCTAATCAGTCTGCACTTGAGAAAGTGCAGCAGGTATCAGTCTGCAGCAAAGCTCTCAGATACATCTGGTTAAAACCTCCTTCAGGCATCACTGTAATAGCCTAGCTCAGGACCTCATGAAGATTTTCTCCTGACAGAGCTTTGCAGCAGAAGATAGACAACCAGCTTTGACTTGAACAAGTCTAGGCTCAAGGGAAAAGGTTTATTTTGCTGAGTACAAGAGCTGAGCCTGAAAGCTCATAGGAGCTTTTGATTTTAGATGCTCCGGGGAAAGCAGAACCTCTGCATGACCAGTGGGGTCAGCATAGCCTTGGGAGGCACCTGAGAGAAGCTGAACTTTGGAGAAGAAGAGAATACGATTACAGGGATGTTCTAATTACAGAAGGATTTGTAGTGGGTGATTTTCCATTTTATTTCAAACATGTACACAAGTTTTATTTCTAAAGGGTATCCCAGAAGCAATTAAATTTGAAGCTTAAAACTTACTTTAAATTTTACCATGTACAAAGCATCAGTGAGTCTGTTCATATTGGCATGTTCTTTCCCAATCTAAAATAATGGAATAGACAGGTTAAATAAGAATGACTATAATTATGCTTTGAATAGGTGTTTTCTTATCTGAATCTCAACATTCCTACTAAAGTAAGTTTAACAGCAATTTGCAGTGAGTTGCTGCTTCCAATAAGTCATCTGTTTTCTTTAAGCATTTCTTAAATATGTGGCTTGGTTCTCAAACACTTGACAGCATAATGCTTTTCATCATATAAACATGCTATTTTTGTGATTCTTACCTCCAAGAAAACACCAACTACTGCCAAGCCATCTGGAGCTGCTGCTGCTTCTCCAAATGTTGCGTATTTTCTGGCATTCCAGTGAACTAAGTGGAGCTTTAAAGAAAAATAAAAAATAAGAATTAAACAAATTAGTGATAGAAGCTGTGAACATAGGTTTTCTTATGCTAACAGGCACTAATGGGCATTCATAATAGAATGCAGGTCTTGCTCCAAAGACATCTTTGGAAAGATGGGCAAGTTCAATCTTTTGGACCAGTCCATAAGCATGGACAGCAACTAAAATTTATATATCAGCCTTAATTTAAAAAAAAAAAATCAGGCATTAACTTGTGACATAACTTTTCTGGTATGGGCCTTCATCCCATGAAGCACTATGCCCCAGTACTCACTGATAGACTCCAGGATGCTACACTACTGGGGTATTTGGGATAGATTGTGCTGGGAAAGGCCTGTACCTTGTCCTAGCTTTGCCAGATTAAGCCATTTCGAAGCTATGAATAGCAGCAGCATTTCACAGGTTGTGATCATCAGATGAAGCCTAAGGTAACTGTGCCAGGTCATGGACCTATACATGGCTCCTCATTGTGTTTGTCAGTATATCCTCCCCATCTGTATAAGTAAAAGGATCCAATCCATTGTGTGCAACAGGCTACACTGCACAGCAAAGAGCTGTCAGAGGTACTGCATGAGTGCAGCAGCTAAGCTGTGGGGCTAGCTCTGTCCTGTTGAGTAGGATAAGATGACTGAAAATCTTGGAGAAAGGGCTGCACCAGGGGGATAAGTTTGCATCCTAAAAACCAGGGTGATCAACAGCTAACTTCACTCTAAGGAATAAAATTCCCATTAAAGTCTATGCTGACCTAACCATGGCAAGTAAGCAATCAGAATTGTAAGGGACATGCAGTCCCCACTGCAGACAAAGTCATTTGTCAAAAGCATTTGCATGAATTAATCCTATCTGTAAAAAGACATCATTACCTCACATGGAAAAGGTTTGCCATCAATTGTATGCTCCGATCCCTGGCTGTCCTTTGTGCCCCAGTGAAAGTGAAACTGCTTGAGCCGAAATGGATTCTCAAAGGGACCACCGCTGATTGCTAGGCAAGAAAAATAAAAAAAAAGAAAAAAGCTTAAGCATTCTGGCTGTTTAGCTTTGTGTTAGTAAAAACTAACCACTGTTGGCACAATAGTGGAAAAAAGCCAGCAGCATCTCCCAGTTGCCAATATCAAAGATACACATCATCCAGACATTTAGATGGGTTGAATTTCTTATTGGAAAGCACTTAATTCATAAAAAAATAAAGAAACATCAAGTGTCTACTTGTACAGAATTTTGTAGCATTTTTGAAGTAATGTATTTGACATATGAAGATGTGGTAGCTTTGTTATGGTTATGCCTTTCTTGTTAAGCACCATAAATCCAAGTTGAATATTAAAAAATAAATCACAATTTGAAACTCATGTACTTAACATTTTTTACAGTGCTACTTGAGATTTTGTTCAAGAGTGTAGATGCCTTGAGCATCAAGTAGACAACTCAGCTAAGTATTTCCTCTTTAGCTTGTCTTTCATTCCTGTGGAGGTTCTCTGTATTCTGTTTCCTTTAAATACCTGATCCCATAAAAGAGGTAATATAATACCTTGTATTTTACATGACACCATTCAAAGTCTCAAGTCACCTTATAAAGGTGAGGAAATGCTAGAGAAACTTCATCTATCATTTAGGAATAACACTTAAGAACAGATGAATGTTTAAGATGCCACCTATAGAAGATGCTTTATCAACAGCATCAGTAATCCTCTGGTAATTGCATATAGCACTAAATCAAATAAATTTTGCCCAACAGACATGAAAACCTGATCAGAGTCTTATATTAAGAAAATTAAAATTACATTTAGTATATGTAAAGCACTTATCTTCAAGGTAGTCCATAACATTTTATTAAAAAAATAGAGCTGGGGCTTGCACAGTGCTACCCCATGTGCATAGCTCCAGCTGGCCTTTATGCAGGAAACTAGCCTTGCCAAAGCAAGAGTTTTAGTATTGATTAAGAATCTAAGTACCTCCTAGTATGTTTTTCTTAGTAATGAACTTAGCAATGGAATGCATCACCTGTCTCAAACATTGTTTTAATAAATCTAGCTATGATGGGTTACTGTCAAAACTCTCTTGTGGCATTTATACAGAGTTATGAGTCACTGGATCTATTTCAACACAACCAGAAACACTTTAAAGCATGTTTCCCACTCCTAGCAGTCTTCTTCCTTGCAACTGTTATTAAAACAAAGCATGTGCTGTGTAGAAAGGGCAGAGGTCTTCATTCCTGCATGTACTCTGAGCCTGTATCTCTAAATGCAGAGTAATAGATCATGTTCTTAAACATCTAAAGCTGGATAAAGTTCACTGTTATGTAGATACAGTTCACCTTAGAACAGCACGAAAGTACTTAGCAAGTTAAGACAATACTTCCAGATATATTTTACAAATTCTCTTTGTAGGGTGACATGTTAATGGATCTACGTAGTAAGATTCTGGACAATTCACATCCAGTCTCCTCTTCAAATTCAGTAAAAGTGTTTGAGAACTTGGCCCTTTAGTTGGGCAGTTTTAGATTCATTCCAGAAATTTTAAAACAAAAAGGCTGGAATTTTAACCCCCCACCCTTATTTCAAAGGATTACCAGCACAGACAAGTCACTTCACAGAAAAAGTAACTTTGAGTGTCTAGGATATCCCATTTAGTTAGAATCAATAAAAACATCCAAATGGAAGATGAAATCAGCTGATAGGTTTCAAAATTGTTCAGAGTGGTTTTTTTTTAAATGCACTTGTTCCATTTATCAGCTACTTCATCATCTCCATTTGAATGTTCTTCCCCTACCCTCTAGATGTCAAAGCACAGTCTACCATGGAAGCAGAATTAACAGAACTAATCAATCACTTAAAGCATTTAAGTGCTAAGAGACAATAATATGCAACTGCAGGTAGTCCAACATCCACAAACTGCTACCAACTCAGAATTGGCTGAAGACTTTCTAACTTCTGAATAAACTGAACTGCTCTGAGGCAGAAAGGAAAGAATAAAACAGTGCAAGGTAACAGTGTCTAGGTACAACTTGGTGCAGTGGACTATGATGATGGATACTAAGCTATATGAGGTGATCTCTGCTAATCCTCTTCTCTGCCCTACCCCTGTGGATGGAAACTGGGCAGTGAGCCAGACAGAGCTGGCACATGGGAGCATCTTTGATTTGGATGATCATGGAAACAAGGCAGTGAGTAGTGTACGTATCACTCTGTGCTGGATGCAGTCTAGGAGTGCTGGAGACATGGATGGATTCCCCGTCTAGCAAATGGACAATCCCCATTTAAAAGGGAAGCACTGCAAGCAAACTTCTGATTTTTTCTGATGCAAGAGCTTTTCCTAATGCAGAAACACTATTCTGCTGTGCAATGCTGCATTGCTAGAAAGACTCAAGGGAAGACAAGAAATGGGAGGACAAAATATAAAGGGCTCTGGTCATATGCCTTGTTCTAAACTGAAGTTATACATCATATAAAATATACTATACAGGACATACTCGTTTCCCTCACTAAGTCACAAAATGGTATTCCAAGTTAGTTGGCTCTGTGTTAGTCTCACCTGTCTTGTCATCAGTATCTTCAAACTCAACCATGACTGAATGGCCATTGTTGGAGATGGTGAGAGATGTACATGATTCATAGGAGATAATAAGCGGCTTCAGATTAGGGTCATAAACTGCTCTTGCAGAAACTATATCAATAGGTGACTGGCGGTTCCCTTGGGCAATAGGATAAGATTTGTGCCACTCTGAAGGTCCTTCAAAAGGAAGGAAAGGAAAACACCATTATTTTCTTCCTAGGATACACAAAATAATCATTACAGGTTTTCATGGGGCTTGAAGTAAAGCCTTCTGAGCAGGAGTGACTTGAAAGTTTGAAATCCAACTTAAATTCTAAGCTGGGGTGTTTTTATTAGCACAAACAGGCTGCAACAAGATGGGGGATTCAAATATCTTGTACAAGACACACTGAGAAAAATCACAACACGTCAGTAGGTTGCTGTACCTTCAGTTATTTGTGCCACTGATTTTCTGCAGAGTTTGTAATTCTTTACCAAGATATCTGAAGACCTCCCAAGGTGGGTGCAGGTGTAAATACACTTGTGTGCACACGTGCACTCCCCCAAAGAAACAGTATTTAATTCTTCCTAGGAAAGGTAGTGTAAAAGCTCTGGTGATTCAAATGAGATGCAGATGACTCAATCCCTTAGCTACTGACTATGCAGTTATTTTTAAAACCATTTTATGACTGCAGTAAATCTTTGAGGCAGCTTCTCTCTTCACTCATGCCCATTATGGTATCTCTCTACCCTCAGTGAAGGGTACAGTGTGTTAATTAACATTTTTGGACTTCCTGGCCCCAACAGAGTGGGGAGAAAGACCAATTTAATAGCACAGCTCTCTGCTGCCAGAGCTGGAACATTCTTATGCTATTTGAGATAAGAAAACCTTATCTGTATCAGAGAATTACTTATTCTTACCACTTTTTCTACTTTGGTATGGTAGTACAAGAAGCAATTAAATTATTCCGTTGCTTGTGTTCAGAAGTGTTACTTTAAGATTCCCAGGAAGCATATTTTTAATTGTAGCATTCTCACCTACTTTCACAAGTAGAAACTTTTTAAAATTAAGCACAGATATTTATTTACCCTCAAGCTTATGTAACAAAAACAGTGATCTATTATACCTATTTGTCTTTGGCATTTTCTGAAAAGCTAAGCTTATAAAATAATATCTTTTCTCAGCCTGCCTATAAAGCAGATTTAGGATTTAAATACTGTTGCACAAGCTTAGGCAATATAACTTGTCTCCTACAAGCTTTGTAATAATAAACATGGGTTTATTACGACTACTTATATCCCCAAACACAAAACACCATCTACTAGCACTAACCAGCTTCACTTAGCATTCAAACTTGCTTTTGGACTCACAGAAACTAGATAACTGCTGTTAGAAGAGTTAGACTGGCTCCCGAAGGTTATGCAAAAGACTCTTGTTGGACACTCAGCAGCTGTAATAATTGCTGTCAAAAGCAAGAGAGACTCCTGAAGGCTCTGCAAAAGATTCTTATTGGACAACACCAGTCACCTATCCATCCTTCTCTGTAAAGAATACAGGTGCTACAAAACACTATTGCAGGAATCTTTCAGTAGCTTCATATACCCTCTCACTCTGTGACACATTCTTGGAAGTGGGAAGCAAAGGAAGATGACTAAATTAAAGACTGTCAAATCAGAAATTATAAATTGTGATATAAAAGATCTGATACTGATCTGTGCAATTTATTGATGCTCTAGAATTATATAACATATACCTTATTTTATTCGCTTCTATGGAAGCCTAGATATCACATTTCAACAACTGCACAGGATTAGGGGATCTATTACTACTCTCCTAAATCTTCTTTACTTAAAATAATTGTTTTTGGAGAGAGAGAGACAGTTAATCCTTTTCATAACAGTTTTTTGAAAAGGGACCCATCTGGAGGATCTGCAGCCTGAAAAAAAATACTCAGCACTGCTTCCCTCAGTTTTGGAACATTGATTGCAACAATGAAAGGCATCAGGCATAAGTTTGTGCATCTTTTGGTGCCACTTTCTGTGTGCTATTTATTATCAATAAAGTGATTAATTACCTGCTGTAGATACTTGATGCTTGCAGACATTGAAATGCAGTCAGCTCTGCAGGGCTCAGGGAACAGCTCTAGAAAGAAAATGAGTGGGGGAAGATAGAGAGATGCAGCATGGAAAATGCTATAACCTACCGTCATCCTGCCCATATCCCCAACCGTGGTGGCCAGTCATTCTAGGGGAGCTACACCGTGCTCTGCTCCCAGCTCTCTGCTCGGGGTATTGCTGCTTACCTGCCTTTATAGCGGCTCACCGTGGGATAGGGTCAGCCCCTTAAAGACACAGAGCAACCAAAGCAGTTCCTGCAGGACAGGGAAAGCGCCCGCCTCCCTCCTGCTCTCACCTTTGCTGCTCCTGCTCCTGCTGCTCGCTCGATGTGCTAACTCAGCACAGGAGAAGGAAAATGTAAAACTGAGATAAATGAAGTCCCAGGACTTAGAGAGGAACCAAGACTGCCTAGGCGGCAGGGGGATCAAATCTAGGAAATAGCAGTAGTTTCCCATTCCACACCACAAGGAAGCAAGAGCCGTAGTAACCTGCTCTGAGCAGCAGGGCACAGTAAACCGTGCAGGTTGTAGTAGGAACTGCCCTTCTCGCTTTTGTGTTCTGCAGGGGGAAACATCACCTAGTTACTGCCTCTCTTTTCGAAAAAATTCCAGCTGTAAAAAATGAATGATGCTTCCACCTGATTTGTAATGAAAAATTCAGAATCAGTGCTTAGATGAGACTGAAAACATTCTCATCTCAGAAAAAAATACTTGTGCTACTTTTAAACAATGTAAAAATCACAGCAATTAGGGTTAAATTGGCAATCTGATGGTTTGTGGGGTTTTTTTGTAACTCTAAAGAAACTTTTTTTAAAAGACAAAAATAAAAGTGTAGTTATATTAGGGAAGAGAACACAGCAGACTCTAGAGAAAGGAGCTGATCTGTGAAGCCTCAGTTGTATGTTGGTATGAGACAGTAGTTGCCTGCACCATGCTAAACCTGTGAAGAGGCTACAATGAGATACCCAATCTGTAGCTGTAAAATATCTTAAGACATCTTTGTGTCAATAAAAATGGCTCCTTGGTAATAATTCTGTTAGATCTGAGGAAATACCATCTGTCAAGGCTAAATTTTATAAACATATTGATTTTCATAGAGACAATAGCACACAGAAACAGGGACTCTTCTATTATGCAATCAAGAAAAATGGAAGAGAAGCCTCAATTGTCTGGTATGAGACAGTAGTTGCCTGCACCATGCTAAACCTGTGAAGAGGCTACAATGAGATACCCAATCTGTAGCTGTAAAATATCTTAATTTTCATAGAGACAATAGCACACAGAAACAGGGACTCTTCTATTATGCAATCAAGAAAAATGGAAGAAAAAAATCAATGAAAGCATTTTATGCAACTTTTATATTGTGGTACTGCCTTGTAAGAATTCATTTCCTTTTCCATAGGAGTCAGCTATAAAACCTTTGAGATTCACTAATGCAAGCTACATCGCTCAATAAGGCATGTAAACTGCTGTAAAGCTGTCCATAGAGTAGTCCTACAATGACTTACTCAGGTCAACTTCTCAATTTATTTCTGTTAAACTGCAGTGATTTGCTCAGGTCCCTGCACAGCCCTGACACGCACCAGGGACTGCCACCGCAGGTGTGTCTGTGGCCAAATAGTCTGCGCACACAGAGCTTCACGGTGACTCACATACTGGAAGCAGTACAGCAGCACTGCCAGCGGGTTAAAATACTTTGCTGCTTAGTAGGACAAGTGAGCTCTGAGAAGTTGTGATACACTGGTTCTTATTCTTGTGTGGCTCTGTGCTGTGCTCGTGCATAGGGAAGCCAGATGCAAATCATCAGGGAAGCTGTTCTAGACCATGGGGAGAAGTAGAAAAAAAACCAAAACAAACAAATTACCAGTGAAAATAAGACATAGAAGAGGAATTGTGTATATTAAAAAAGCAGGCTATAGACTGGGGAAAACCATATGCAAGACAGAGAATCCTAAGAAACTGTTTTCAAGAAAACTTAGAAACTGAGGCTCAGCTCTTGCTCGCAGGACACAGTATAACGAGTGAACAGAGCGGCAGCCTAGGACAAATACATGGGTTCTTCTGAACCTGTCACTATGTTGTGATACTGAACTAACAACAGCTTTCCCATCCCTATATATGGAATAACTTTCTTTATGATTTAATTTGAGCTCCCTTTATTAAAACTGCTATATACGAACTAACCATTACAGTTAGAAAGCTCCAAGGAAGATTGGAATGCCTAATAGAAGTTGAACATATTAAGCTTTGCAGGTTTGAGGAAATTGGATTTTTGAATCTCTAAGGCAAGCTGTATCTATAACACAGATCTGGAGTCACTGGGAGGTATTCACACAAGGAAATCATGTCACTTGAGGATAATGCTTTTCGTATGTATCACCGTAGAGAGGCAGAGCTGCTTTTTAGGAGATGTAAAATGAAAGAATAGTTATTTGGTTCCAAGATGAATGGCTAAATGGCTCTCTAAGTGTATTTGCTTGAGTAACTTGGTAATTATTTCTGCTGAGCATCTTTAATAATGGCAACGCACATTTGAATGAGGTGTCATGCCTTCTTTATTTAACGCGTATGAGTGTGTCTGATGTGTCATTGCCTATTAACAAAAATATGGCAGAAATTCAGTCAGTTTGGGTACAGGCTGCTCACTCTAGAGCCTTTGAAGTGCGATAGGTAGGAGCAGATTAAATGTTAAAACATTCATCACTCCAGAGCTTGCCTACACCTCAGGTTCTTGAAAAAGTATCTTGTTTATCCAGGCAGCTCATCTCTCTTCTTACATTGCCATTACTGATGCTGTCAGTTTCCAAATGGGAGCTATACCAAGGTGATATCTGCTCTTTATGTGTGCATTGAAATAATTTATAATGGATCCAGAAACTGCACAAAAATACTTCACAAGGTAAATATAAAGAGGAGGAGGGTGTATCATTCCAGATTTATTTTTTCATTTTTTAGTAATTTATTTAAAAAGTGACTGCCTACACTTGTTGATTGACAACAGAAATTTCAGATTTCATATTCTCAAGTTTTTCATTGCAAACCCAAAAACATGATGACTGTATATTGAGATTCTCATGCATCCAGTGTAACTATAGGAGCTGAAAGTGGTAATCCTTCTCCCACAGCTACATAGTGAGATTCATAAGATTTCTAAAGGAAAGAACTCAACATCTATTTACTGTGAATCTCTTCCTGGCATAAGGGGGAAAAAACAACAACAACAA